AAAATTGAAATATATTTTAAAATAAAAGATTTTGTAAATTGTTTTTAAGAACAATAAAATTCATATAAATAAAAACTGCAATTACATATCAGTTAATTTAATAGATTACTCGTCTCCTGGTATCGTATATATATGTTGCTGTATATTTCTAACGAAGAAAATATTTTGCAAAACTAGAAATTTATATAAACAAGGAAACAATGGTTTATATTAGCAAATTTACATTTATTTATTTTAACATAAGATTACTCCATGACGCAAACAGTATATACGTACATGATGAATATTAAAAATTTATTTTAGAACTATTTACAGTTACGAAATGTTTCTAATTTAAACTAAAGAGTTATATTAAAGTAGAAAACATACGTTTTCTTAAAATAATCTCACATGTTAGAGAATGTAGTATTCAAATTTTTTTATAACCGTAACATGTAACACTACGAAATTCATAACCTCTACCAAAACTAATAGCAAAATGGATAAATAACATCTAATAGCAGTTTCTACAAATTATACATACTTTTAGGCTCCAAAACGTAAAAAAATTCCAGTTACAATTAAATACATAATGTTATGCACTAACGACAGTGTACCAGAAACTAAATGGATCAAATCATGTCGCCGAATGCCATGGGTATTTTGTTATAGTTAATACAATTTAAAATATTATTCATTATTCTTTAAGTTTGATTCATTATTTAATTTGTTTATGTTTAGTTTTGTGTATGCATTTTGAATACTGTATTATTTCTGTTGTTTTTGTACTCAAAGAGATAACCTCATTTTCGAAGAAAAATATATAAATAAATGGAAATATTAACATGTGCAGTTTTGTTTAGAAAATATATCATACTGCTGCGTTCAAAATAACATAAAAGATAATAAATTTCAGTTTAGAAATTATTTAGTTAATTAACAAATGTTACACTTATTACTATTACTTTGTTACATCTACTCATTGAGCAATTAGAATTTTTGACGTTCGTATTATTAACAAGTCTTATAAAATGTCGAAAAATATTTAAGTTCTACCAATTTTTCGAATTATCTAAATCATATTA